GAAGCTTTACGAGATTGGACTGAAAGAAACCCAGTCGAAAACAACCAATCAGAAGATAAACGAAGAGATAGATATGCCAAAGCATTCAACACGCAGCAGAAGAAAGACCCAACCAAACCGCGGCCATGTGTTTACTGTGATTCGATGGAGCATAAATCGACAACTTGTTCAGTCGTTAGCACATCTGTGGACCGAAAGAAGATACTTGCACAAAAGAAACTATGCTATAATTGTGCTGGGGGGTCACATCGTGCTGCTGAATGTCGAAGTACCACCACGTGTCGGAACTGTGGTAAAAGACACCATACGTCGATCTGCGATCCTGAAGCAAAATTAGAGATGTTAAAGTCAGCGCATCAAGCCGACGAAAGCGAGGTGATATATCCAGTCGTTTTGCTAGAAATAGATGGTATCAAGACGAGAGCTTTACTTGATACTGGGAGCTCGTATGCTTCGGCCAGACTAATCAATGCACTTCACAAACAGCCTACGGAAACCAAGACCAAACGCATAGAGATGCTTGGTTCGACTACAACGAAAGTGGAGATTTATAACGTTAAGGTCAAGTCAATAGACGGTGATTTTACCATGGATGTCAATGTAACCAAGGTGGACAAACCACAGTTAATGCATTTGGATAACCCAAATTATGAGACATTGTTGAAAAATCACTCTCATCTTAATGGAGTACAGACCAACGACGTTGATGTCAACCCACATCTAGCTGTTCATGTTGTGCTTGGCGCCAGTGAATACGCTGCAATTAAAACGAAGACTGCACCAAGAATCGGATCACCCGGTCAACCAATCGCAGAAAAGACCCTGCTCGGTTGGACGATTATGTCACCAGGTAGAGAAGTAGACACTGCTCCACTATTGCTTACCAGCTCCACGAGTGTCGACTTCGACCAGCTTTGTAGTCTTGATGTGCTCGGTTTGGCTGATTCACCTGCGGGAGATCAACTCGAAGTGTACCAAGAATTCAAGGAGCAGCTCACGCGTAGTCAGGAGGGGTGGTATGAAACCGGGCTCCCCCGGAAAGGCAACCACCCAGAGCTACCTACCAACAAGACCGGAAGTATCCGAAGGCTTCAGCAGCTGGTAAAGAAGTTAGAACGGGACAACAATTATACAGCATATGACAATGTTATTCAAGAACAGATCGAACAGGGAGTGGTTGAGGTAGCCCCTGCAGTAGTTGTTGGTAACGAATTTTACCTACCACATAAAGCTCTACAGAACTTGCTATGGACAGTACTTGTGAGAAACCGAATTCACCCAGTTGCGATTACTGGGGATCTACAGAAAGCATTTCTACAGGTCCGAATACGGGAAGCAGAGCGCGACGCTCTTAGATTCCACTGGAAACCTCCTGGTCAATCAAACATAGAGGTTTACCGTTTTACTCGAGCCCTATTTGGGTTGACCTCCTCTCCATTCCTGTTGGGTGGGGTCATCAATCACCATCTCACATTATGGGAATATCGGTACCCAGAGTTCGTAGAGGAAATATGTAAAAGTCTATATGTTGATGACTTACTATCGGGGGGAGCAACGGTCCAAGAAGCCCAAATCAAGAAGTCGAAGGCAAAGGAGATCTTCCAAGATGCTAAGTTCAACCTGCACAAGTGGCACAGCAATGAAAGCGAGTTAGAGTTGGACAATGACGCGAAAGACGGACATGATGAACTGTCATATGCCAAACAGCAGCTGGGAACTACATCATCAGAAACTAAGTTACTGGGCCTTCCCTGGGACAAAGAGAATGACACCCTGAGAATTGAATTCCCTCAGGTGGAGACGGAGCCGACTAAACGAGGAGTCTTGTCTACCCTAGCCAAAGTGTATGACCCCCTCGGTTTGGTTTCCCCAACAACATTATCTGGGAAGCTGATTTTCCGCGACATCAGTGATGAGAAACTTGCATGGGACACTGAACTACCTGAACAATTGCAAAAATTGTGGAACAAATGGTACAACAACTTGCCAGCGTCCGTAACAATACCAAGATCAATTGTACCCCATCAACAACCGATTCAAGAACTGACATTACACGCTTTTGGTGATGCAAGTGGAAAAGGCGTTAGCGCAGTGGTTTATGCCGTGGTGAAGCAAGACGATGGAGTAGCACAGAATATCGTGACAGCCAAGTCACGTTTAGCCAAACGTGGACTAACAATCCCGAGATTAGAACTGGTAGCCGGCCACATGGCCACTAACTTGATCACCAATGTTCAACAAGCAATTCAACCCATCATTACAGCAGGCCTCCATTGTTGGCTGGACAGTACAGTCGCGTTGTTCTGGATCCTTGGTACGGGCGAGTACAAGCAGTTTGTTGCCAACCGAGTGAACAAGATCCGTCAACACTCAAGTATCACCTGGCACCATGTACCTACCGCAGAGAATCCCGCTGACTTGGGAAGCCGTGGAGGGAGCGTGGTGGACGCCCCACTTTGGAGGTATGGACTTCAGTGGCTGGCAGACCCAGATAAGTGGCCACCGAACATAACACTCATATCTAGTGCCAGTAGCAATGCTGAAGCCAAGATCACTAAAGATATCTTCGCGGCGGCCGTAAACGTCCAGGACACATTCGACGAGCTGTTATCTAAACATGAGCTTTGAAAGGTCTTGCGAATCGGGGCGTGGGTACAACGATTCATTCACAACTGCAAGGCAACGTTGGCAACCAGAGAATCGGGTCCACTTACAACAACCGAAATAGAGAACCACAAGACCTGGTGGATCAAACGAGTTCAGCGTGATGCACAGACCACAACTAAATTCGAGAAAGACAAACTCCAGTTAAACCTGCAGATTAACCAGCAACAAATCTTAGAATGTCGAGGACGCCTCGAAGGTGAATATCCTATTTACTTGCCAGATGATCATCCTCTCACAAGCAAGTTGGTTCATCAAGCACATCTCGCGACATTGCATGGGGGAGTTGGACTCACCATGGCGAGGATTAGGGAACTGTACTGGGTCCCACGACTTCGACGCCTTGTGAAGAAAGTACGAGGGAAGTGTTGGGGATGCAAGAGATTCCGCACCAAGGCATTCCAGTCACCACCGCCCGGCAACTTACCGAGAACCAGAACCAGTGGTAATACACCTTACGAAGTGATTGGAGTCGATTTTGCAGGCCCGATAATGTACCGAACCAAGTCGAAAGTAGAGAAGAAATCCTATCTTGCACTATACGGATGCAGTTTGGCACGAGGAGTGTTCCTAGACCTACTACCATCCCTAAACACGGAAGAGTTCATCATCAGTCTTAAACGATTTGTCGCCCGTCGCGGAAGACCGAAGCTAATATACTCAGACAATGGTGGCACCTTCAAGGCAGCGGCGAAGTGGCTCAAAGAAGCACAAAGAAGTGAGAAGTTCAACGACTACTTGGCTCAACATTCGATTACGTGGCAGTTTAACCTAAGTCGAGCGCCATGGTGGGGCGGTCAATTTGAGTGCCTCATCGGACTGTTCAAGAACGCTTTCTATAAAACCATTGGCAACGCTACTTTGCGTTGGTCAGAGCTAGAAGAACTTGTCCTCGATGTGGAAATAGCACTGAACAACAGGCCCTTGAGCTATTTGGAGGATGACATTCAACTGCCGCTGCTCACACCGAACTCTATGCTGAACCTTAACCCGAATAATCTACCGAACCTGGAGTCGTCTCAGATTCCTGATATTGATGTGCGTAAGAGAGCAAAATACCTGGCTCGTTGCAAGGAGATGGTTTGGAGTCGTTGGTCCAAAGAGTATAAACGTGCACTTCGGGAGCAGCACAGACGAGCCGGAGGCGAACAGACCTTGCATCCGAAGATTGGCGATGTCATCATTATCAAAGGTGATGCAAAGAACCGTAATCACTGGAAACTTGGCGTTGTGGAGGAACTCATCCAAGGGAGAGATGGGATAACACGAGCAGCTTAAGTCAAAACAAGCAATGGAATTCTCGAGCGAGCGACCCAACACCTCAGCCCTTTCGAATTATCATGCGACCGTTCGCTGCCTGTAGAACTTAACCCTACAGCTCCAGAGTTCATGCCAAGACCTCGAAGAGATGCAGCTGCTGCAGCAAGGTTACGAATTCAAAACAATCTTAACAAAGAGGACAATGATTGACTTGCAAAAACTCTAAAGTTAGAATAAGGACGTTATACTGCTAAATTTAAGAAACATTCTTGTTTTGTTCGAACGTCATAAGGACTATAGGTTAACATATATCTCCATAGAGGAACATATATGGGGGGAGTGTGTCCGGAAATAGGAAACCGGAAGTAATAGATAAATACGTCACATCGTACGATAGTGTGGCGCCGGTTTGTTTACATATTTTTGGACACTTTATATTTTTGGGTCGAAGACAGGGCGTGTATTTAAAACTACTGAGAAAAGCTAATAAACTATATCTATGCGATTTGTTTTGGGATACTATTCTTTTGGAGGCCAAGAAATCCCGAATAGTGTATCGTTTTTCAGATTATATTTTAAGTCTTTCAATCTTTAGTATGTCCCGAAGGAAATCTTGATTCTTGAGGAAATCTCTGAATTTAAAATTATTGTTGTTATTTTAAACGCATGCTAGTAAATCATTATTTCAGGTGGACCGTGCGAAGAACCCACGCGAGATTTTTACGGTGGTCGGCCATTTTGAACACATGCCAATAAATAAAATATTCCGAAATTGGCCACCACCGATGATGGTCAGTCAAGGCACAGAGAAGAGATATACAGAGAGGAAACAGACACCTCGATAACCTGAATTTTTGTGTCACGCGTTCCACGCGCCACGCAAAATCTTCCAGCCAGTGCCGTCGCTGAAATTTCATAGCAAAAGATAGGGAAAAGGCCGTTCGAAAGGTAAAAATCGCTTTTTTAAAAAAAATGAGATACCCATGGAAATTTTGTTCGGTAAGCGATCACTTTTATTGATTTCTTTTTATCAAAAGTGTTAACATAACATTTTATTTTGCAAAAGTTTGTTTTTTCCCCTATCTACTCCTTATTAAAATCGTGAAAAGCACTGGCTGGGAGTTTCAGATGCTCATATATAAAAAACAAAGCAGCAAATAATATAAATTCCTCAAAATATAACTCTCGCATAAAAAAACATGTTTACTTCTATAATATATAGTTTTTTCCTCTGCATTGTCAAAATTTAATAAAATAGTGAATTAGTATAATTTTATATAGTAATTGGACTGAATATATCGGCGTGACACAATTTGCCGCGTGTTTCCTCTCTGTACTATCTCTTCTCTGTGGTCAAGGTGGCAGTTTTTCATGTACAAAAATGTGAATTATTTTCATTATAAATAGTTAGGAATTGTAAAATTTGCTTTCTTCTGTAAAGGTCTAAATCCACGACGAGCGAAATGCGAAAAATTTCGAGCGAAAACACACTTGTGCGAAAATTTTCTCTCGTAGCGATTTCCACATTTGGAGAAAAAATTCGCCAAAACACAAGCATTTGATTGGTTTCGCTATTTTGTCATCCAAAACACAAGCATCTGATTGGTTTCGCTATTTCCATTTCGCAACGGAGTAGAAACGAATACAACTACCCGGCGAAGAGAAATATTTCGCAGAAACATTCCAAAATCATGTTGCGCATGCGTTCAACCTTTTCGCGCGAAATTTTTCGCATTTCGCTCGTCGTGGAATTAGGCCTTAAGAGTCAACACTGACGAATTTGATCACGACTTTGACCACCATCTGGTGACCTGAGAGGCTTAATAAATTGCCTGTACTCTGTAGTTATCTACTGAACTGCCTGCTATCTGTGCGATCTTTCTTCTGTTTAAAAATCTTGGTTTTCTTCGGTAATTTGGAGTTTCTATATCCTGTACCAAATCCTCCGCCACCTCCACGCCTGTGAGCGCGCTCTCCTTTACTGCTGTGAACAGCTGGGTTGTTTTAGTTAAGGTCATTTGTCAGTCAAAATTGTTCAGCACAGTGATTTAAAAACAGTATGAAATATAAGTAAAAATGTTCCTCGGGCTTCAGTATTCAGTAAATTCTGAACTCTCTGACGGCAATTGAATGTCTCCCAATTGCCAGTTTGGTTGTTTCATCACTGAACTATAAACTTTTAGTCTTAGACAACAAGGCAAGGATAAACGAGGAAATCCCTTAATTAAAGTCAGTAGAAAGTTCTAGATTCGATGTTTGGTACATTTCTGATAAAAATCAGACAAAAAGAGCAAGGATTATAAAAGGATGGTTTAAATATATGACGGATTGTAAAAACTTTCCAGATCATCTAATCTATTCGTCCCGAAAAATGGCCGCCAGCAGGAGTTTGAGCCCGCGAATTCCTGGTGTGACACTAATCCTTTAAAAAAATCAAATATCCTCCTCCTATTAAGCCTAGTTTCCATATGGTCGTAACTGTCGCGAACGTGTTGTAACTGTCGTCAGAGTTGTGTTCGCGACCAACTGGAAATATGAAGAAAAGCCTTGTCGCGACACGCTGGCAACAGTTCACGACAGTTACAACAGTGTCGTGGAGATAAACTCGAGTTCTATCTCGACGACGGTTGCGACAGGCTAAAACTTGTCGTGACGGTTATGTTTTAATGGAAACAGAAAAACGACAGCATAGCAACAGTTTGCAACAATCGGGGAGCTGCTTGTACGATCCCTGGGTACGAAATAATTCACAATACAATACAATACAATACAATACAATACAATACAATACAATACAATACAATACAATACAATACAATACAATACAATACAATACAACTTTATTTGAATCATACACATGACAATACAACATTCAAATCCAGCAATAGCAAGCAAATCGCAGCAGGAAATGAATTTGTTCCACTTAAATAATATTAAATATTATACCTCAAATTCAAATTGTCCAATAAAAAAACATAATTTGTGCCACGTGACAATGCGATTTTTTACGGGATTTCACTCAAATTCATGATTTTGCAATGCAGCGTGAGATACTATAATATCCCACCGTGGGATATTATAGTATCTCACGCGTGACGCGTGGACACCACGCTCTGAAACAATATGACGTTCGCGAGCTGTTGTTTGTAATTTCGTACATAAGATTTATATACTGATTTAAGTTAACCAAAGATTTTCAAGACGTATGTTACCTTCAATGATCCAAAGAATACATGCTCAAATATTTTAAAGAGAAAACGTCAAAAACACAGGTATACATAAGAAATTAAAAATTGTATTGAGCTCAAGTTTTAGAGTTTATTCTGAACTTGGTGGGTTCTTTAACTTTCGGTGTAATATATCATTTATAGACCCTCATCATCACTTTGGGTAATATATTCCGCCGAATCCCCCTCGCTCCAGGTCTATAAATATAATCCCCCTATTATAAGGACAAAGTATTACGACAAACACTTCACGACAGGTTGGCAACACGTTCGCGACAGACTACAGTTACAACCATATAGGCTTTAGGGGATGAATATCAACGGCAGGCAATTTGCAAAATATTTGGAGGGATTTAGGTTGCCACCCATATGACCACCTTTTGTTGCAGGTAATCTTAGTTCCTTGACCTTTCTAAAAAATTTCTACAGTTTTTCTGGAAAATTTCATACTATGAAAGTGTTGCAAAACTTTGGATGTTAAATTTACAAGGTATTTTTCTACCTTGTGTCGTCAACCTTATAACATTCCATTCTTGTTATGACTGTATCAGACTTGTCAGAACAACCTTGTAACAAATCTGATCAAGCTTGTTAACAGCTTGTGAACAGATTTGTAACCACTTGTTTGCAGACTTGTAACAACTCAACGGTACGTAAGGGGCAGCACCGCAGCACGTTGACCGCATGCACTCCACATGCTTCCAACATGTATGGACATGCGGTAGCTATAGCATTTCTATTCAAAAGGATACCCAAGTTAACCGCAGGTGGAACTTGAAATCCGAACGCTTTGGAAACCTTCTGTAGATCTAACGTATTCACACTGAATATATCTCTGTGTTGATGTGAGGTGTAAGCCTGAAGGTATGATCTGTAGCCCTCCTTAGCTGATTTGTGTAAGTAATAGTTCTTCGTGATCAATTTCTCAAGCTGAAATAGATCAAAGTTTGACAGTTTGGAACCTTGTCTTGCCGAAACGCTGCGTATTTTCTACCTTTTTCTACCTTCTAGTTCGAACAAGACAACGAAGTACGACGTACTTGACAATTTTTGCCTTTCTGCACATCATCCTGCGCATACTGAGTTTGGGGACCAGGTGGTTGCCCAAAGTGTCTTCCCGTTATAGATTCATATCTCGCTGTTAATCAATACTGACCTTAATCCTTACTATGACGCAGACAAAAGAGCGAGACCTGAAACTACAACCCTGACAAAAACGATTGTGGCAAAACCAGCAATTTTTAACTTTTCTCCCCCCCCCCCAAATTCAATGTTGAAAGCTTATAAATTGGTTAGGTGAAATGCATGTCAAAACCAACATTGTAGGGGGAGGCAAAGTGATAAAATAGTTAAGTTAGTTGAGTACTGCTACTAATTTTTCAAATCTTTTTAATAATTTGACAAGATTTATGAAATTGAAAACATTTGCTTTAAAATATTTGTGAAAGAAATAGTATAAAGCATTATTTGAGCATTGTTTGGTGTTGTTGGCCAACAAGGGAGACCAGTTTAGAAATGATAGTACGTAAATTTTACCTGTGACTGAATATTCGCAATCTTCGAAGATGAGACATCGTACTCATTGAGGGGAACCTGAAAGTAGAGATAGCAACACATTAATTATTTAATCAGAGGTGCATGAAGCATCGGACCACGGGACCATTAGTTCCCAGAATATGTTTCCCCAAGAAAGAAAGAAAGAAAAGTTTAGTGTAAAAATTTAGATAAAAGAAGAAATTCGGGGGGAAATTCTACCAATAAAAAGAATGTTACCTGTGCTGTAGGTAGGACCTTTAAAAAGTAGACAATTTTGAAACGGCTCTCAATTTCACAAATCCGTTAATTTCATGATTTGTTTATGAATATAGGGATGTTTGGGTACTTTTGGTGAAGATAAATTTTCCAGAGCAGGGGTGTTTTTTTAGCAGAATTAAAAATAGCTTGCACGGCGAAATTTAAACGTTTAAAACACATTTTGAGTTCATGGGCGAGAAATTTGTTATTGTGTTTCATCATTGGTGCAAATATCAGAAAATTTAGTCAATTTTAAGTCCTTAAATAGCTGCTAAAACTTTCATTTTTTGGCACCAATGCCTATCACGCATGCTTAATTCATGCCTTTAGCTAATTTGCATATTGTTATTTTGCTTTTTTTTTACAATAACAATATGCAAATTAGGTAAAAACATGCATGATAGCATTATAGAATTGCACCAAGGTTGTTTCCATCTGGTACAAGCTCTCTCTCTTCCTCGTCAGCCTCGTTATCACTGTGCATATCTGTAATCAAATTTTCCAAGAAACGTTTAAAATTTGAACAGTTCCTTGTTATCATATGATCAGTTCGGCTGGCAGTGATCATGGTGCCTTTTATCTCTGGTATGGTTATGGATCAAATGTTGGATATTGTTTATTGACTTTTGTTTGTCAAACTAAAACTTGGTCACCAACTTTGAAATGAGATTCCTTGGTAATACGGCGTTTATTTGCATAGGAATTTCTCTTTTGCTTAGCCTCACGATCAGCTTTGCCAATTCCGCTGTACTTGCATAAGCGATAATTTGTGTATCGTCTTTTCCTGGTGTTGGTAGTGAAAGTATTGCTCCAAGTCCAACAGGGGATGCATCAACATGAACTTCAGTTTGTTTCGAGGTATCCCATTCGCAGTATCTGTAGTCAGTGAATGTTTTAAAGTCTCAAAAGAAGTTTGTTCATTTTGGGTCCATGCCCACCTCATGCCTTTGTGGGTCAATTTCCGAAGGGGAGCGGCAAGAGTGGTTAAATTTGGGATAAACCGTCCACAATATTGTATCATGCCAGGGAACATTTGTAGGGACTGGTGTGTCTTTCACTGGTGTGTCCTTGCTTGCACATTCTTAGCGGGACTAGGCAATAACCCATTTTTTGAAAAATATCCAAAGAATATTAAAAGTGCTAGATGCGCGACCAGGATTCATAATAAAGTTTCTGAAACGTTCTCTGATCGTAAAATGTATTTAAACACGAGCCTTCGACTGCCAGTCTGCAGTCTTCGACAGGTAAACTGATACTAAATATAAAACTATTCTACGGATATAGCTACTAAGAAAGTGGTTTACAATATTTATTAGAAAGCTAACGTTTCGTCTTTAACTTAAGACATCTTCAGATCAATGACATACAAAGCGGAAAACATAGAAATATGAATAAATTACAACTATTTACAAGAATTACATCACAAAAGTAGAAAAAGGAGTGGATCAGAGTAGAAGTAGAGGGACCGAACTGCCTTGTAAGTTGAGAGAGGGTTTGAGTTTGTTAATGAGAAGACTCTCTCAAATGAGGAGTTCGTCTGGAGAAGGGCAACTAGAAATAATCTTAAAATCACAAGAGAGGCAGTGTGGCCAGTGCTGTCAAGATGGGAAAGGATACTAGACATGGCCGGATTGCTGCTTTTACTGCCTGTTAGAGGAGAAAGTGGTTTAGTTTGTTGTATTTCCAACATTCCTTATTTTTCGCAGGACAAGGGCTATTTGTGTGAGGCCATTCGCCACCACAGTTTCTACAACTGTTCATTGTACGTGGACGACGACTGTCATGAATAGACTGTACCACCGGTTATCAGACTCGACTCGACTTGCTTTCTCTTCGATATGTCGTGCTTGGATATACTACGCTCTAACTGGCGACCTGCCTACACAATGCCTGTTTTCTCAACCGACTTGAAGTTCCATAAAGCACAATTTGAAGCATGATTTCAAAATCAGCGTCTGCAAAATCACAATGTTGGGATAAACTCCGCAATCGAGTGTAGTATTGGTCAAGTGTTTCCGTGTTGCCCTGTTTGGCTTGTCGAAATTGATGTTTCTACAGCGATGTTTCTGAGGCTTGAAGTATGCATTTAATTTTTCTACTGCTTTATCAAAATCATCATCGTTGTCGGGGAGTTGAAGAAAGATCTCGCGTACACGCGGCCCTGTTTGATATAAAAACAATGCTCTCTTTTTCTTTTTATCAGTATCGCCGCTCGCCACGAGGTACATCTGAAAATCTTCGAGCCAAATTTTCCATTTCGGTGCTAAATTAATGCCTATTTCCACATCAGGATCGAATGGAGGCATATAATTAACAAGTGAAGTAGCCATCCTCGTCGCCAATGTTGTATTTTGTATCTTTAATTCAGACTATATTTAATATGAACTATTTAATGTGAACTATCTTCAACTGGCAAAACATTCTTGTCCGTGAGGGGTATGGAACCTAGTGATGAAATCACTACACACAGGAGCAGCAGGTTAGGTCCAAAAATGCATAAAATTTACACTCGAGATTTCCATCTACTAAATCATTCAACATTTAGTTCAATCGAGTGCCCAAAGATCATGATCTATTTACCCCTTACACTGGCATCACCTTGGTATATATACATGAACTTGTATAGAGTTCAATAACTGTACTGTAGCTCAGTTGGTTAGAGCACTGCACCGGAATCTGAGGGCTGAAAGTTCGATTCCTGCCTGAGGGCCTGTGCTTTTTATAGCATTTTTCTCTTAAATGTATAAAAATTCCACTCGAAATTCCATCTATACAAGGCCGGCGAGAGCCAACCACGGGCCCCGGGGCACAATGACAATTGGTGAACACGGGCCCCCTGTCCCTTTCGACTCTCCCGCTGGCTCATGGCCACGCCAAAGCCTAATTTTAATCGCAATCAACGAGAGAATTTCCGAATTACTTGCAAGAAATCGCCTCATAACTGATAAAAACGCAATGTGAACGATGTTCAGCTAACTGTTTTTGCTGAGAAAACGATCGAAAAATCGTTTATTTCACATTTGGTACGTTTTACGATCGATCACGACGATTTCCGGGCCCCTCTGAGCACTCCGGGCCCAGGGTATTTTGTCCCCTCTGTCCCCCCCCCCCCTCGCCGGCCTTGCATCTATAACACCATTCTACAACTAGTTCTATCGTGTGAGATGCCCTAAATCCTGATATATACATAAAAAATAATGTTCGGGGTTAGTATAGCATTATAGGAGAATTACATGTATATGGTGGTCTATACTACAATCCACCTTACCTTAGCGTGTTTGAGATAGCGTAAGAAAGCAAGTTCTTCAGGAAGCAGAAACAACAAAGCGTGACCTTTCCCATGTGCACCACGTGCTGTACGCCCGACTCTGTGAATGTATTCCTGACAGTAACAATAATTAACAATTAGTATTTACTCAATGCGGACTACAAAAGGTGTTGTTGCCCAAGAGGGTGAGAGTGCATGAGAGTTGGCAGTCACGCGATCTAGGTTAGCTGTTCTTAATGCTTTTCCAAGACTATCATGTATTCTATTTAAATAATATAAACTGGAATGTCCCTTGTAACAATTTGTGACTGCCAATGGACCATTTGCATTATAGACTAAATTTTGATCTAGACAAAGATTTCATCACAGCTTGAAAAAGCATCACAAAATTAGTAATATTCCAAAGTTTCGTTGCGAAATGTTGTAAAATGCGGATAATATAGCCATGCGAAGTTTGCCGTTTTTCAGTCATTTTGTATTACGCATGGGAAATTGACAGCCCAATCGGGTGTTGGGGCATCAATTTCCCTTTTGTAATACAAAATGACTGAAAATTGCAAAGTTCGCAAGGCTATATTATCCGCATTTTACAACATTTCGCAACGAAACTTTGGAATATTACTAATTTTGTGATGCTCTTTCAAGCTGTGATGAAATTTTTGTCTAGATCAAAATTTAGTCTATAATGTAAATGGTCCATTACTATCATCAATGCCATCCTCGTTTGACAGGGGCTTTAGTTTTTGGCGAGGAAAGAATACCCGGGACGCGGAGACAAACCCTATTTACATGAACTTTCGGGCACACACCAACCTACGGTGAACAGCATCGGACTTAACTCAAACTAGGATTAGAGTTTGATGAGAGTTGCAACTGTGGCTGGTGTTAGACTGCCAACTCTCATCAAATTTTCATGCATGAAAGTTTTCTCCACGCGCGTGGTAATATCAGTAAACGTAAACTGGAACTATAACTCCGGGAAGAAATTGAAGCCAGTGCATTTTAGTTGTTCTGAGTTTTGAGCATAAATACGTACTTTTAAGTATTAAAATACCGAACGTTGTGCTGTATATGAAACTGAAGCTATTGAGGATAGGAATAGCAATTTAGCCTTCCAAAAGTGACACGCCATGTCCGCCCTCCTCTCCAAAAACATATTTCCTTTGCAATAATTTTAAAATCAGATCTTCATCTTCTAAATTAAAACGTGATTCATAGGAACGAACATGTGTAAAACTACATTACAAAATTGAAGAGCAAACAGCATGGCTAACATTATTGGCCAAGACCAAGTTATTCTTAAACTTAGAAATACACGCATGCAACAACCCCTCACATTTCCAAACATTGTTTCAACATGAATTATTCTTAATTAATCACTTTTTGTACAAAACTGCTAAAATAAATTAAATTTTTACACTTTTAACAATAGAACTACCGATTTCTAAAATATTTAAAGAAGTATATGTTATTTTATAATCTATGGGCCTTATTTTAATGTAAAATTCAACACGAAATGCATGCTTCGTAAAATTAAACGTTTTTGCCTGTAAATCTTAAACTTATTACTCGTCACAGAAGAGGTTGGACAAGCAGGCCGCAAAGCATCATGGGTTCGAGTGCCTAATTCCACGCGTGGCTTCAATGATTCTTTGACTGTTGTGGAGTGAACATCTCTCTGAGTCAGGCTTTTAGCCAGGGTCCTGAAGAGGACGCCCAATTTTGGTACAACGATACATCTACAGTAAAGAGCGGGGAGGAGAAGTGGGGTCGAAAAAATTAACGTTCCTCTGGAAAACCTTTGAATTTTAAGTTACTTTATGTCAGTATCTGTTCGAAGCTAATTCGAAAATTTTTCAAAACACTTGGCTTTGTGAGTTTGTGCCGCTATAATGCTACTTTACTTAGTTACGACATTTTCATTCAGCCAGGTACACCATCAAATTTATCAAAATGTCAAATGTATAATAATAATGAGAATTGAACCTATTTCATTCTATATATATTAATATACTTAGGAAAATCATTGAAAATAATTTCCCTTTTCCCCCCGGAATTTGGGCGTCCAAAGGCGTCCATTTTTTGTTTTAGGGGCGTCCTGGTTCTGGCTAAAAGCCTGCTCTGAGTAAAAAAAAGCATTCGAAAGACTAGAGCTGCAATAGTTCGTTAAAATAGCATGTTATTGCTGTATTGTTGCGATCATCATTATGACTTGTGTTTTACTATACCAAGTTTACCTTATATTAAATTGCATGGGACGTGCTGTCTTTTAGCTTTATAAATAATCCGTCTGTGAAATATAGGCTCTGTGAGAGCGAAGGAATTGTGATAATATTCCCAATAGCGAGGCTCTTCTTTCCAAGTCAGATGGCGTTAAATCATCAACGTGAAAACAAGCGCATAATTTAAGGTTGGTGTACTATACAATGCATTACAGTTGACTTGTTAATACTCGCTGGGGCACCTGTGCCCGGGCGAGTATAGGTTTCGGCACACATTTGTGGTAGATGGGCAATCTCCAATCGTCGTCGATAGCCACAAAATAGAATATTAATGAGCTGCCTAATAAAACCCAATTTATCCTTTTCAAAATAGCGGCCTTTCGTGGTGTGGATTGTTTCAAACAATTTCGTTAAAATTTTCAACGAATTGTACACGTTTTCTATGGATTTTGCATTGTTTCTAACTCTGGACATTCTTGCTAGTTTAGTTAATGCATTTTTCTTGGTGCACGACTCTGAAAATCCGAAATTTGGATGTTTGAATTCCCGTGCACGATCATAATATACTGAATCTGAATGTAAGCGAGCCAAAGACAATTTAAAGGTAAAAGGTTAACTTAATCTACACAATGTAGTTTTAATAGATAACTACTTTATGAGAAGCATATTGATGTCATATCAATATAAAATTTATGCAACAACAGTCCCTAATAGTTAGCTGTGGAAACGTGAAAACTGTGGTGAGAAATATGATATTGTATTTGTAATGCCTAATGGCGCAATAAGGATAAAAAATACCATCGTTCGATTCAGCGTAAGAAATTGTATATACGGATGTCAAATGTATTACTGAACAACAGTATTCTAGTGATTTATGCTCTTTGAAAATCAAGCGAAATTGTATTGCTGACAAATCGCTCGCAATACGTCAAATTAACTTCCTTCCATACCATTAAATAGCATTCAACTTGTCTGTAAATAGACTGTAAATCTCATTTACACACTAAATGTACATTGACAAACTATGTAAATTTAAAACATTGTTTGTAAATTATTTGTAAAACATTGGAATTATTTCCGAATAGTTTGTAAATCACTGCAACCATTTGTAAACTGCAGTTTGTAAATTATCAGCAAGTGTTTGCAAATAGTTTGTAAATTAAATTGTAAATATTATGTAAATTATTAGTAAGTATTTGTAAATAGTTTGTAACTTAAATTGTAAATAGTTTGTAAACTATTAGTGACAAATTGTAAATAGTTTGTAAATTAAATCGTAAATAGTTTGTAAATGATTAGCAACTAGTTGCAAATAAGTTCTTTGTATGTTTGCATGGTGATAAAATATAATAGTTTTGTTTGTGGAAACACCACGTAAATTTATTACAGTAATAAATTTACGTGGTGTTTCCACAAACAAAACTATTATAGTTGTAAATAGTTTGTAAATTAAATTGTAAATAGTTTGTAAATTATTAGTAACTATATTTGTAAATAGTTTGTAAATTAAATTGTAAATAGTTTGTAAATTATTAGTAACTATTTGTAAATAGTTTGTAAACGAAATTGTAATAGTTTGTAAATTGTTAGCAAGTAGTTGTAAACAGTTTGTAAAGTAAATTGTAAATAGTTTGTAAATTATTAGTAACTATTTGTAAATAAATTGTAAACGAAATTGTAAATAGTTTGTAAATTATTAGCAACTAGTTGTAAATTGTTAGCAACTAGTTGTAAATAGTTTGTAAATGAAATTGTAAATAGTTTGTAAATTAAAATGTGAATAGTTTGTAAATTATTATGTATGTACTAAATTAATCTAATTTGGCTAGTTCATAATAACGCTCAGATCTCGTATACAGATATTCGTATTTTATTCAAAATCTATTATGCTCTTTTATTATCGTATTTTAAATCGTATTTTGCTCTTTTATGTTAAAGTATACATAATCCTTGACTTAATAACACGATGATCTACTCGATGAAAATTGGGCAAATTTAAAGGGGCGATCTTTGCAGAGAAACTTGACCGTTCGGTGAAATTGGTAGTTCAGAGATCCTATTTTCATTGTAGTATTTCGTGACAATTTGTTGGCCGATTTCTAGTTTATATTGTAGAACGGGTTTCTATAGTGAATTAAATTAACTGTGTATCTTCTAAAGAGTAGTAATAAGCGCGACTCCTTTTTGTTGATGGATGTTGAATTCATTTTAGACTTTTGTTCATATACAACAAGTACACTACCGAGTACTGAATCACTATTTGCAAAGAAATTAGCCTATATCACCACCATAATTCAAGCTTATTTTTAAAGTCAAATAGTTTCTCCATGGATAAAAGTAGTTTTTTATGGAGTTAAAAATAGGGCAAGTACGAATTTAAAGAAGGTCAAGTTGCACTTGTATATCTCACTTCGAAAAAGATGTACATATAAAACAGGTATATTTGTACGGCGAAATTAAACTGCAGCACAAAGTTTTTATTTCTACTTTCACGTTCTTATTCCAAAGCAAACTCTTCTAAGTTGGAAATGCCTAAAATTGCGAGCGTAGAAACACTAAAGAAACAAGAAAACGAGTAGTTTTGGCAAATTTGGTGTTTGTTTTTAGAATTCAGTCACGCGATTAACCCGCGTTCACGTGCACTCCACGCTTACGTTTCTCGCGCATGCGTAGACGAAAGTCCACCCAGTTGTTCGCTAATGCTTTCTTTTTCCCAGGTGTAAATAGCCGAGCGGAATTAGTACCCTCGCCTCGGGCTTATTACGCCTGGAACGGCGCTCCGACGGGCTTACGCCCGAAACGGTTGTATACCAGTACTGCAAGACAAAATACCTGTACTGGAGTTTTGTTTTTGTTTTTTACATTCAAAAATACATCCAAAAGCGCTCTCATACAAACTCTCGCTCTAATCGACAATACTACCCGTAATTTTGGTGTCGTCAGTGAATAATCATGATGTCATCCTTAATCCACAGCGAATATTTATATTCATCGGGTACCACAATTTCGCTAACCGTACCTACCACCACCCATGCGCCCTCTGGATGACGAGAATCAATGTGTACAAATCACTATTATTATTCACACTTCCTTAAGATGATATATGGATCAACGTGTATAATTCACTATTGTTAACCACAGTACCTTAGGGTCATCAGGAGGATCGAACTGTACAATCCAATCAACTTCAGGGATATCAAGACCTCGAGCTGCAACGTCAGTGCATAGTAAGATACCAGATTTTGCTTGACAGAATTGAAAGAAAGTCGTTGTACGCTTCTGTTGCTTTTGTTTTCCCTACATAACCAAAATTTTATAGCAATGAGTAACCCACAGAGTTATGTTTAATTCAAGGTTCGATGAACTTCATCAATTGGCCATTTCCCAATCGAGCAGAGGAGAACTTCATCAATTAGCCATTTCCCAATCGAGCAGAGGACTGGGACTCGTTGATGTTTGGAGGGATGTTTGGAGGGACAAGAAGTTATAGTGAGCGAGCTAAATATATATTAAAAGGTGCCTTATTATAATTGTTGCGTCTCAGGCTACACAAAGAACTTTAGGAATGTAGGAAAACTTCATAGATGCCATATTGGGCATATTATTTATTTTTTGTCCCTCCATACAAGCGGCCAGACCCAGCCCTCTGCTCAATTGGGAAATGGCTAATTATCAATCATTGTCTAAGCATCCTCATTGGAAAATTAGGTTGACGTAGAAATTTTCATTATAAGACTTCTAACAACAAATTTCATAATTGGATGCATATATACAAAGGTTAACATGTTAAACCCAGGGAGTGCACTGTTGATAGAACAATGTAATAAATAGCTGCTGTTGTTTATTTCAAGACTGATATATTTTTCAAATAGTTCAAAAAGAAATCACGGCAGATAATTGAATATAATAATATAGCTAGACTGGAGCTATCTTTTTCAGGGAGTTCACACACAAAACATGACAGCTTATTGTAGAACACAACCTACACTGGACCACACCACGTTTGAGATATCAATTTCAGATAGTTGAGACACAAACAACGACAGCTTATTGTAGAATAAAACTGCTTATACTTTACGAACACGATTGAGATCTCTTTTTCGGGCAGTTCAGACAGGAACGACAGCAGCTATTGTAGAATATTAATACCTACCTACACTGAACTATATTTGCTGAAAATATCAGCCGGGAAAGAATTTATGTCTCCACTACCGGAAAATGATATCTCAATTAAACGTGAAGATTTAGTGTTGGTAATATTCTACAATGAGCTGCCCTAGTTTGATTCTGGACTTCCTGAAACATATATTTCAAATGTGGTGATCCATTTCTACGAAATTATCATGTTTTGTGTCTAAACTGCCTGAAAAGGGTATATCAGACATGGTAGAATAAAAGTTATTCCGAATAAGAAGTGCATAATTTATGCATAACACACAATTTATAATAACTGTATATTTCGAATCAAATCTGATTCATCTTCAGCAGGGTTTTGCAAGATATGTCGTTATATTACAAGCGCAAGCAATGTTTTTTTGAAAATTTTCAGTATATCTTATTGAATACCCTTGAATTTCCATACTCACATGTATATCAAGTACATCCAGATCAATGTAGTTCAGAAGTTCAGAATGATATTTCACAGAATGACAAGATGAAAAGAACACCATCACTTTCTTATCACGGTTCTTCTTCAAGAATGTAAACAACACCAAGAAACGTTTGTCTGACGGCACAACTAAATAACCCTGAAATTAAAATATGTGAGAAATATTGTGTCGACGAGTGTTTAGCGTGTACGTCCAGTGTAAGTAGCGTCCTACAACATTTGCCATGCTTATGTCTATGAACTACCCGAAAATATAATACCTCAAATTCAAATTGTCCAATAAAAAACCCAATTTGTACCACGTGATAATGTGATTTTTTACGGTATTTCACTCAAATTCATGATTTCGCAATGAAGCGTGAGATACTATAATATCCCACGGTAGATTTCACTGTGGGATATTACAGTATCTCACGCGTGACCACCACGCTCTGAAACAATATGGCGTTCGCGAGCTGTTGTTTGTATTAAATTTCGTACAGAAGATTTATTGATTTAAGTTAACCAAAGATGTTAAAGACGTATGTTACCTTCACTGATCCAAAGGATACATGCATGCTCAAATATTTTAAAGAGAAAACGGCAAAAACTCAGGTATGTATATGAAATTAAAAATTGTATCCGCTTCAAGTTTTAAAGTTTGTTGTGAACGTTGTGGGTTGTTTAACTTTCGGTATAATATATCATTTATAGAACCAGCTCCGCTCGGGGGATTCGTCGAAATATTACCCTCAGTGATGATATTTCCTTCGGGACAAAGCCCCTCGGGAAATATCATCACTGAGGGTAATATTCCGCCGAACCCCCTCGCTCCCGGTCTATAAATGATAAATATCCAATGCAAGTAGTATTCCATAATAAACTACCGTGGCTTGTGAATGAACTACCGGGAAAATTCGACGTTCTGGCCATTAGCAGAATTCTAACATCGAAGTGTGCGTTCTTAATCTTCATTTCAGCTAGTGCAGACACAAACCAAGACAGATTATAGTAGAATACCACCTACTCTGGACAATATTTGATGGAATTTGCCGAGTGGAAATTTATATACATTTATTAGACCTAACCAGGAGCAGAAGCGAAAAATACATGTTTAGGTGCCTGGCAGGGATTGAATATGGGGGCCTGCGATTCCGGTGCAGCGCTCGAACAAGCCAGGGCCGGTTGTCGAGCTCTAACCACAAGTTCATGTGTACAGGGTGTATAAAAAAAAACTGAACAGATTTGAAATTGCTCTCAATTTCGCAAAACCATAGATATCTTATATACACTAGATAGTGCATCTAATTATTCTGCAATTCAAAAATTGAAGCCGTGATTGCAGACTCAGGATATTCCCATGAAATGAGAAGATTCGTATGTTTTCTATTTCTTAAACAGATAAATTAGCGGACATATTCACACGCATTTACATATCAAACAAATTGAAATATCTCGGGAACAATCCATGAAAACAAGAAACTGAAAAATAAGTTACACTACAGCTTAAAGAGTTCTTTCATTTAAGAAAATAAGAAATTTCATGTCATATGCACTTTAAGTTCACTGCGTTTCCTAACCGTAGGAGCCAAACAGTATACGTTTTACAAACCTGTTCTAAGCCCTCTACCGTGGCTGTTTCTTTGTGATCGTCAACCCCCACATACAACGGAGCTTTCTTAAGGGATATTCTAGCTAAATCTTCAACATTCTTTGTTTGTGTTGCAGAGAACAAAACTGTCATTCGACGACCTAGTTGATATTGAAATAGAAGATATATAAACAGTAGATTAATACTTTAAAAACTCTAGCCCCAAAAGGCATAAACGTCGAAAAGAATAGATGACTAGATCTCGGATCCCAGAAAATTTTCCAGACCTGGTTTAACTGGAATATTAGTGAGCCTGGCAGAAAACTTTGACCCCCAAACGAGGTTAACCTTTTACTAATGATCAAAAGGGCCCAGTTCATCCGAAAATCATGCTTCACTACTGAGTACTGGGGCAAGCAAAGGGCCTACTGGGGTAAATGCCCCAGCAGTTATATAGTTAAAAAATGCCCTGGGCCATCCCAGAAACAGAAATATTATTTCCGTGCTGGATAGCATGAGGAACAGTGGAATTCCAAAAACAATTAAAAACTCATTAATACTTCATAAGGAAAAGACAAAGAAAATCAATACCGTGTCGGTGGTTTTATATGTGATAAAAAATCATGTTAACTTACGTAAACTTCAGCTCGGTTTAGACCGAGTTGATTTTTAAAATTACCGCACCAATGAACTCATATGGGATGGGTCGTTTTTAAGCTATTTAAAACACTCTCAGTCCATGCTTTGTCAGGTATATAGCTTTATCACTGGGTTCGATCATTGAACAGTGAGCGGATGGCGCTATTTTTATTGCTATGTATTACAGACTACTTTCATAATTCAATTAACGGCTCGCTATTCGCAATTTGCGAATGTAAATTCGCTTTTTGCGAACGCAAAATCATCCACTTTGCGAATGACGTTTCGAAAAAACAGGTTGATTTTCACAATCACTTCGAATGTATTTTACTATAATGTAAGATATGGAGTATTTTGCTGACTATTATTGTAATTCTACTTCATCATTGGTCAGTTCACAAAGAAGTCACGTGATAGAGCGCGGGAGATCGGAGCATTCAGTTCGAGCGTGATTTCAGAGCGTTTGGTTTAGAAAAAAATTTCGTTTGACTTGTTTGGACAAAATACTTTTCATTTGACATATTTCCGATGGCAGAACCTGAAGACAAACTTCTTTTCTCAGAAGACGAAGAGCCTTCAATCAATCTAAACAAAGAATTCCTGTCGACTATCTCGTTACTGAATACAAACATGCTTGCTGTAAACGAGTCGCTTAAGCAATTTAGTACCCAAAGGCACACGGCAGAACCTGCCAGGAACTTAAA